AACAAATACCTTACTACCGATCGACTGCATTGTAACTCATTAACATTTGGATTAAGGTAGTGTTCTGAAACTCCTGCTAGTAAAATTGCATTGAGAACTACTTCTCTTTTAACCTTTGCAGCCACATAGCAACAACAACAAAAAAAAACAAAAAAATCACTACATCTAAATATTCCTTTCAAGTTGCTTCTACAGTGTAATACATTTCCTTGGTAAAATAGAGCGATGTAGATGAAATGCCTTGCTCAGGTACATAAATACAACGATGAGGCTAGAATTAGACCACTCGACTACAACATCTACAAAAACTTTTTTTAGTAAACCGTAAACAATGCTTTCTTTTCAAACTTCTGTATAGTAGTGTGATCATAGTTCCAGTGTTACCATAGTTGCTCTATCTCAAAAGTTCGGTAAGATTTCAAAAATCCGATACCACAAATGGATGAAACAAATTAAATTACCCTGAGACGACATTTTCTATTGAATTTAGGTGTACAAATTATGAAAAATATTGAGAATAGATGCCCTAATAATTACAATTGAAAAGAGGTTCAATCTGATAGTAGAATATATTGTTTTTGCAAAATATGCAATTATCTTATTCTTTAATCATAGCTTTTTGTAACAAATAAGCTGTAAACTTCCGTGCGGGAATTAGGGTCGCGTATCTGTCAATGACTTTACATCGAGTAACAGCGCATTCCGATCCAAAATCTAATTTTGAGATCGCGATAACTCTGGAAAAATTTGACGATAAACTTTCTAATGGCACCAAATTTATCGTCAAAATCTTTGCAGTCCAATTGACATATTCCAATTATTCTTTTAAATCTCAGCGAACTTCATTCTTTTTCTACCATGTCTTACATTATAATTTTGTATTCATTTTCATTACTACTTTGTAGAAGTATATATTAGATGTAATAAATACTCAGACATGCTAAAAGAAGCATGACTGAATATAACCACATGACATTCAGAGAACACAAATCCTTGAATGAACCCAATTATTGATCTTACCTAGTGTTACGCTTATTTGTACATAGTTAACAGTTGCTGTTTGGCATTGGAAATCACATATATCAAGTGGGACAAATGTTCGAAGCTGCTGACAGAGGCAATTCAAGTTTATAACTACATGACATTCAGGAAAAACAAATCCTTGAAAGTACTTTAGTTTGTCTACCTTTAAACCTCAAACAAAACTTGACCTAACCTTGTGTTGTCCCAGGTGTTGTGGCTGGCGTTGTCACAGGTGATGTTCCAGGTGTTGTTCCGGCTGTCGTTCCTGGCGTTGTTCCTGAGAAAAAAATCAAAAGTTATGTGTATTGATATAGAACTAAATACCTATACTCAAGATATGTGCGCTTAGTTTACTTGATTATCAGTTTTGTTTGGCTTTGGAAATTACAAATGTTCAAACCCCTTCTTACAAGGGCACTGGCCACATGACATTCACAGAACCCAACTCCTTTTAAGTACAGTAGTGTGTCTCTCTTTAAACCCCAAACAAATTTAACCTTACCGTTGTGGTACTGATGTAGTACCTGGTGTTGTGCCTGGTGTTGTTCCAGGTGTTGTTCCAGGTGTCGTGGCTGGTATTGTCACAGGCGTTGTTCCAGGTTGTAGCTGGCGTTGTCACAGGCGTAGTTCCAGGTGTTGTAGCTGGCGTTGTTGCAGGTGTTGTTCCAGGTGTTGTTCCGGCTTTCGTTCCTGGCGTTGTTGCAGGTGTTGTAGCTGGAGTGGTTCCAGGTGTTGTTCCTGGAGTTGTTCCTGAGGAAAAAATCAAAAGTTATATGTATTGATATAGAACTAAATACCTATACTCGAGATATGTGCGCTTAGTTTACTTGATTATCAGTTTTGTTTGGCTTTGGAAATTACAAATGTTCAAACCCCTTCTTACAAAGGCAATGGCTACATGACATTCACAGAACCCAACTCCTTTTAAGTACAGTAGTGTGTCTCTCTTTAAACCCCAAACAAAATTTGCCCTTACCCGGTGTGGTGCCTGATGTAGTACCTGGTGTTGTGCCTGGTGTTGTTTCTGGCGTTGTCACAGGCGTTGTTGCAGGTGTTGTCACAGGCGTTGTTGCAGGTGTTGTAGCTGAAGTATTTCCAAGTGTTGTTCCTGGAGTTGTTCCTGAGGGAAAAAAATAAAAAGTTATATGTATTGATATATAACTAAATACCTATATTCAAGATATCTGCGCTTAGTTTATTTGATTATTAGTTGCTTGATGGCTTTGGAAATAGCAAATGTTCAAACTTCTTACAAAGGCACTGACCATCGACATTCAGAGAACCCAACTCCTTTAAAGCACTGTAGTGTGTTTCTCTTTAAATCTCAAGTCTATTGTTAGACTGCTTAATTCACCTTGAATCTTTAAACTAAAACTAACAAAGATCGAGTAAACAAAACAATGTATTTGATTATATTCCCACATGCATTTTCATCTCCTGAGTGCTACTTTTGTATCTCTTCTTCTATTTGCAATATCAATTAATAACATAACTTGAGAATGTTTCAATCAATGTGAAATAGCCTTTTTACTTGTTAATTGGCCGTATGCATAAAAGTAGCAATTGCTTGCAAGCATTGCTTCAAGCACAAGCAATTGCTTGTCAAGCAAAAGATCAAGCTCAAGCAATTGTTTAAATCCGTATGCATAACATTTTGCTTGTGCTCAAACCTTTTGCTTGCCTCCAGCAAGCAATTGCTTACGATCTCAACAATAGCGACGTCACGCCGGTGCGAACATCATTCATGGGAGAACAAAGGCGGGTTTCGCATACTAGTAGTGTATTCAAATGTCATGCGTGTGGGGTAGCCTTTCCTGACATGGCAGTATAACATTCCAGGATGATCCCCATCACTTCCCCCACTGTTGTTTGGTAACCCGGATCCGCCAGGTAGTGGAGCGTGGCCTCCATGCTCTCCACCGTTGTCAGACATCCTCCCCGTTTTTCATCATGTTCAGGTATGAACCTGTGTGCTAACCACTCAACGTTCTCTTTGTCGAAACGGAATAGTTTCCGATAGGTCTCGGGAGCAATTTCTTCTCGATTTATTCTACTCCTGTACAACTCTGGTTTTTCTCTAACGAGCATAAACATGATGCTTAACCGCGAAAGTCCCGATTAAGCAAGAGCTCAAGCTGCTATGACGGAGCTTGAAAAAACGTAAGCAATTGCTTATAAGAACAAGCAAAAGGTTCGTTTTATGCATACGTTTTTAAGCAATTGCTTGTGCTTGCTAGCAAAAGCATTTGCTTGTAAGCAATTGCTTATGTTTATGCATATGGATTCAAGTAAAAGGCTAGCACAAGCAATTGCTACTTTTTATGCATACGGCCCAGTATTTATCTTTGTCGATTTCAACATTACATCTTTATCAGCACTATATTTAATTCATTCAAGGTTTCTTCACTTTATACTTTCTGATGTAATATTAATTTGCCAATTTCGCTTAATTCAGGAACATCATTTTGTTTAACCAACATTGAAACTTAGCTTTAATATCCTATCTTTTATCGTATTTTATCTGTATAACATCTAAATGTTATCCCATCTACATATCACTGTTGCAATGAACCTCTAAATTGTTAATTATCAATTTTCTATCTCTTGTAAAACGAATGACAATTTTATATCATCAATGAAACTGTAAATCCTTTTTAAATATACACAATATTTGTTAAGTGCTCTATATACTTTAATGTGTTATCAATGCAATGTTATGCCATGTAATTTTTTACTCTGTAAATTGAACAATTTCAGCATTTAGCTGCATGTCCGATGATTTTTATCTCAATAAACCAATACAATACAATACAAAAAACAAAATTTGACCTCACCTGCTGTGGTGCCTGGTGTAGTACCTGGTGTTGTGCCTGGTGTTGTTCCAGGTGTTGTTCCAGGTGTTGTAGCTGGCGTTGTCACAGACGTTGTTCCAGGTGTTGTTCCGGCTGTCATTACTGACGTTGTTGCAGGTGTTGTAGCTTGAGTGGTTCCAGGTGTTGTTCCTGGAGTTGTTCCTGAGGTAAAAAATCAAAATTTATATGTATTGATATAGAACTAAATACCTATACTTAAGATATGTGCTCTTAGTTTACTTGATTATTAGTTTTGTTTTGCTTTGGAAATTACAAATGTTCAAACCCCTTCTTACAAAGGAACTGGCCACATGACATTCACAGAACCCAACTCCTTTTAATACAGTAGTGTGTCTCTCTTTAAACCCCAAACAAAATTTGACCTTACCTGATGTGGTGCCTGGTGTAGTACCTGGTGTTGTGCCCGTCGTTGTTCCAGGTGTTGTCACAGGTGTTGTTTCAGGTGTTGTCCCTGGTGTCGTTTCTGGCGTTGTTGCAAGTGTTGTAGCTGGAGTTGTTCCTG